CGCCAAACCCTCAATAGGGTGCCGCACAACCAACACAAGATGAGGATCACACAAGCCACAAGCAATTTACTAGAGTACCTTTTTGGCGCCCGCCGGGAAAGGTCAAGAACCCCTCACAATCACCACGATCGGAGTCAGAGACAATCACCTCCTCCACTCAACGATCCTAGCTGCTCCAAGCCGTCTAGGTGGCGGCAACCACCAAGAGTAACAAGCGAAATCCGCAGCGAAACACAATCACCAAGTGCCTCTAGATGCAATCACTCAAGCAATGCACTTGGATTCTCTCTCAATCTCACAAAGATGTTTAATCTATAATGGAAATGAGTGGGAGAACTTTGGCTAGACTCACAAGGTTGCTATGTCAATGAAAATGTGCAAGAGAGCTCCCTTGAGCCGGCCATGGGGCTATAAATAGAGCCCCAATCAAATAGAGCCGTTATACCCCTTCTTTGGGCAACACGCTCGACGGGACGCTCCGGTCATCATCGACCGGACGCTGGCCTTCAGTCGTCCGGTCGCCCGATGGACGCCACGCGTCACCAACTTCAAACTTATTTGTTTCGCCGATTTCAACGGTCATAAAAGTCGATGGACGCTTTCTGGTAAGAATCGACCGGACGCTGAAGCCCCGGCGTCCGGTCGTTTCAGAGAAGCTCCCGAGGCATGTTTTTTGGCCGACGACGTCGTCGGTCCACTCTTGACCGGACGCCAAAGGTCTCGATGCTCAACCCTAGCCATCAGATCGCATTGAAGTCGGCCGTGACCGAACGCGAAAGCGGTCGTCGTCCGGTGCTTCTGGATTCAGCGTCCGGTCACTGGACCGACGCCAGCATCATTTCGATCAACTCCATTTCAACTCTTACTTCTTCACCCTTGCTCAAGAGTGCCAACCACCAAGAATTTCCCGAAAGCGCCGAATCCCGCCTCGCAAGCTCGGCGGGAGGGAGAGAGGGACCCAAACCTATCTCAACCCTACAAACACCTTGTGCACATGTGGTAGCATATTTACACAAATATTATCAAGGGTGTTAGCACTCCACTAGATCCTAAATGCATATGCAATGAGTTAGAGCATCTAGTGGCACTTTGATAACCGCATTTCGATACGAGTTTCACCCCTCTTAATAGTACGGCTATCAATCCTAAATGAAATCATACTCTCTAAGTGTCTTGATCACTAAAACAAAATAGCTCTTACAAATTATACCTTTGCCTTGAGCTTTTTGTTTTTCTCTTTCTTCTTTCCAAGTCGAAGCACTTGATCATCACCATGCCATCATCTTTATCATGCTATGATCTTCATTTGCTTCACCACTTGGAGTGTGCTACCTATCTCATGATCACTTGATAACCTAGGTTAGCACTTAGGGTTTCATCAATTCACCAAAACCAAACTAGAGCTTTCATGGTCTCCGTCGAAGCCCGCAAGAAGCTTATGCGGTGCTCCAGAGAAGTGCTTGTGAGGGGCATTGTGCTCGCCCCGCGGGAGCCGCGAAGAGCAACTCTAGTAAAGCGTGTCATTGAGCTACCCTCACTCAAGGGGTAGGTTCTTGCGGCGCCCGACGTGCGGGCTTAGCGGGTGATGCTAATTAGCCGCCGAACCACCAAGTGAGCGGTCGACACAACGGGGACTAGCGTGTTGGCAAACACGTGAACCTCGGGAGAAAAATCATCGTGTCAACCTTGTTCTTCCCGTTGATTTGCATCCCCATTACACAAGCTTGCAATTACTTTTATACATATTAAGCTTGTGTAGTTGCTCTTGAAATTAGATAGCTTGTGTAGCTTGCTAATTACCTTCTTGCTTGTGTAGCATAGAAGTAGCTCCCTTGCGTGGCTAATTTGGTTTTAGTAACCTTGTTAGTCACATTGCTTAGTTTGTGTAGCTAAGTACTTACGCTCTCTAATTAGGCATTGGTTGCCTTGTTATTGAGCATTGCTAGTGAGCATAGTTAGTTTTGTGTTTTTGCTTACTAGCATGTGTAGGAGCTCTCTTGTTGCTTAAAATACTAGTGACATAGGTTTGTGTAACCTTGCTCTTAGAATTGTTTAGGAGAGCTCTAGCTAGCCCGGCACCTTAGTTGCATAATTGGTATCTTAGCAAGGTGCTAGTGAACATATATAAAGGGGTGTAGTCTTGGCTAGACCGATTGTTTTAATTCCACATTTATATCGGTTAGCCGACGCGATTAATTTTAGAAAAGACTATTCACCCCCCCTCTAGTCCGCCATTTCGACCCTTTCACTTCCCTGAACCTCTCCTCTCTCTCCGCGTAGGCGGGACCCGTGAGTCGAGATGAGGACGAGCACGCCCCGTCCGCAGGACCCCAGGCGCACCGCATGCCCCATCCGTCGGCCCCCGGCTCGTCGCACCCCTTCCCACGTGCCCGGCTCTTTGCCCAACTGACTCTCTGAACATACCTCTAAACACACGAAATACTTGTAGCATAAAACACTTGAATGCAACATACGTCTGAAGCAGATGAAACATTTGAAATATACCCTTGTACATGTGCGTAAAACATATGCAAACATCCATATAAAAACACTTGCAACATGAAAATACTTATTGCAACATAAGACTGAAATAGCTGAAATATTTTAAACATACTCTTGCAACATATGTGTGAAACGTATGCAACATCTAAATAAAAACGCTTGCAACATACGTCTAAAACAGATGAAATATTTTAAACAAACGCTTGCAACATGCCTCTGAAAAATTTGCAACATGCCTCTGGAACACTTTGCAACATATACAACATCCCGGTCTACTTTTACAACATACCTTTAGAACATGTAGAACACTTGAAACATACGCTTGCAACATGTCAGACGCGGGAGGTGGTAGAGCGAAGAGTACCACGGGCTTGGTTGCCGCGAGCTTCTTCCATTGGGGGCACCGGGGCACGCGGAGCCTCGATGCGAGCGTGAAGTATGGCACGACCGCGACGCCCTCGTGGTCCCCAGCAGGAGGAGGTGACGAGGAGGACGCCGGCGCCAGCGTGGCGCCGACTCCGGCGATGAGGGCAAGGGTGGGCGGTGGGCACGACTCCAGCGGCGCAACCTGGCGTTACGGAGGAGAGCGAGGGCCCCGGGGCAGAGGAAGCGGAGGTGGTCGTCGCTGGAGAAGCCGAGCGGCGGGTGAGTGGTAGGAAACGCCGCGATAGCTGTGCTTGTTCGAAATGTCGCCGACTTTTTTTTTGAGAAACGGTGAAAGAATGAAGGTAAAGAGAATCAACTGTATTGGACTAGTAGTGCACAGGCTCAGCGGCGTCCGGCCAGTCTGACGCCTAGCATTTCCATACCCATAAGCACAGCAGTCAATTTTGCGCTTTCTGAACGATGAACGAGCAAAAGAAATCATTGTACTAACTTGCAAGTTTATTGGGTACTAGCAAATATGCCCGTGCATTGCAACAGGAGAAAAAAAAATATTAAACATTAATAAAAAACGAAGATGGGAATGCTACGCATCTATTTATGTTTTACTCTTTCTATAAAATTTTAAAGTTATATGTATTTTATGATAACCATGGCATCCATCACATGTGTTAATATTGGTAATAATGTGACAATGTCCTATTAATCTTGTATCAAAATAAAATATAACTGATAATTTTTATCTCCCGTTATAGGCCTTGTTCGCTTATCTTATAATCCGTCTTTTTCAGCTTGTTTTTTCACTGGAACATTGTTTTTCTCTCACAACAAATCAGCCGGAACAGTGTTTCGGCTTGTTTTTTCAGCGAAGCGAACGGGCCATAAGGCATAGAAATATTTCCTCATGAACGTAACGTAACTTTGATTTTCATACTATCCATGCATGTGTCGATGTAAATAAATATTGAGTCTCGTGGCTTTCTTTGAGGGTCTATAAAAAATATGTAATTTTAATTCCTGTTTAAAGCTGTCAAAGAGTTAGTTTCCGTCGTGTCAAGTATGGTCTGTTGATGATTTTCATATGGCAGCTCTAGTCGAGAATTGCAAGGATATATGCGTACAATTTAGAGATACATGTATTTAGATTAGATTGGTTAATAAACTGGTTAAGGTTTCAGTTAATAAAAAAAGATTATTCCTAATTAAAACTACGTCACCAACTTAGTAATACAAATATTTATTTATTACGAAAAGGACAAGGGGGCAAAAATACATATAATATTATATTTACCCAAGGGGACGACGTGCTGCGAGCCGTTCCTGCTCCGTTTCTCGTAGTTGTTCATGGAGCTGACGGACGAGATCGTACGTACCGGTGGCAATGGTGAACCAGATGAGCATGTTCCACGGGACGACGGCGCGCAGGTGGAAGACCCCCAGGTACGTGGTCAGGTTCCTCAACAAGTGGCGGCAAGCACATAATTTAATCCTACGTATTCCTCGCGCTGGGCGGCACCTTGAAGACGTTCTTCCACCCGCGCTCCTGCCGCGGCACGAATACGAATTGATTCTGGACGCGTACATACATTGGGAATATATGTACGTTAATTGGGCACCTATACACATATATGTCTAATAAAACTTATATTTGAGATTGAATAGGAGTCATTTTACATGTAAGATCACGAATGATGAAAGGCTCGTATAGCACCACGTGTAGATCGAACGGCTGTTATAGAGAAAAGATAAAATCATACGATTGAGAGCTCATATAACACGAAGTATATATCGAACAGCTGTTACAGCCGAAGAGCTCTTTAGAAAAACTCGCTCTTCTGTGGTGTGAGCGATGATGATGATGACATGATAAGTCTGTGTCAAAACGAAGCTATGCTATGCGGCAACGAACAACAGCCCCGGCCCAGGTAGGCCTCCAGCCCGTGCGCCGCTTAGCCGCATGGGCGTGCGCGTGTCCGCGTGTAGCGTACGCCACATTGCGTCCGCGCCTTTTCCATTTCCACCCCGATCTCATTCTCTTCTGTCTTCTCCCCGCCCGCCTCAGTTTTTCGTCAGGCTCCGCCGCTCTCCTTCTTCCTCCGCCGCGCGCCGACGAGATGGGGAAGCGCTGGATCCCGCTGGAGGCCAACCCGGACGTCATGAACCAGGTGAGCTCGCGCGACCCCGCCCCCGCCTCCGCCTCCGGCGCCGGCGCTAGCTAGGGTTTCGTTTCCTTCTGTTTCGTGCCGCTCTCGCTAATTCCTGCCGCGGAGTGGGCTTGTGCAGTTCATATGGGGGCTGGGAGTCCCCGAGGGGGATGTGCAGTTCTGCGACGTCTACGGCCTGGACGACGAGCTGCTTGCCATGGTGCCCCAGCCCATTCTCGCCGTCCTCTTCCTCTACCCGCTCACCTCCCTGGTAAGTACTCGCTTTCATTTCCCCATTGGATGGTGTGATCAATGGCGTGCTTGGCTTTGCTTTTGGTTGTGTGATGCCAAAGCGGGGATTGATGGGTTCGTTGTCTTTTGCTGATCAGGACGAGGAGGAGAAAGAAGAATCAAGTGCCTCTACCACATCGACTGCAGGGGGCAAGGTGTGGTTGTATCATCCTGTTCTATTTTTCCTGTCCTATGATTGTAATTGTAATGTTTTCAACACAATGCCTTGGCCACTTTAGTGATGCTCTCCGTGCCCTGAAGTAGGATAGAGAAGGTTTAATTCGAATTGTGCTGAGAGATTTTGATTTGTGTTCTTAGAATTGTATGTTGATTATCTTGGTGAAATTTGTACATGTTACCAGTGTTGGTCCTCCAGTCCTTGAAACAGCTTTTGTGATTTAGTTTGGTATTCACTGCAATATCATCTTGTGATTACACATATCCACTTGTGTTTATAGGTGATAGGTGCCCAGAAATTGGAAAAGAAAGTAACTGTAGCTGTTATCTAGGTAACCAGATATTGAATTGTACATTTTTTTCACTTGGTTATTTGTTGCTCTAAGCTCTATCCACGCTACCACACTGGTTTTGTTACTGGTTGAATCAAGTACAGTACTATGTGGAGGTGGTATATATTACTTAATGAGCCCTTCACGAACTGATCCTTTATGCTGTTACTAAATGAAATACTCAATACTCAAGGAATACCTACAATTTTTAGATCATCAAGTAAATCTCCACTGACTGCTTCTGCGTTGTGGTACCAGTACCTATAGAATTGCTACATAAAAACCTATCAAGATACATTCATTTTCTTTGGTTAATTTGCTGGATATGCACTAATTTTTCTGTGACACATCACAGCTTTTCACTGGGAAAATACAATGTTAGATGCTCTATGTATCAATTTCGTAATACTATGAAGTATCAACTTCTTATGATATCCAGCTTTTGTTCTTACTTCACTTTTTGTAATACTCAATAAACTATCCGTTTCATTTTTCAAAGAACCAGTTTATTCACATCTGGCTCCCATTTTCTTATCATTCCATTTAATGGTATGAAAGCAAACAGATACATGTGCTTCTTCTTGTTTACCTTTTGAGTTTTGCATAATTTTCTGATGGACATCAATTCACATGTATATTTGTATTCAATTTGAACAGATGTTAATTTATTTGAATTTCCTTTTTACCTTGAGAATATTCCTGAGTCAATGTTGGATCTATATTTTTCTATCCCTGAATTTGTGTAGGAATTGAGCAAGAAGGTATACTTTACGAAGCAGACTGTTGGTAATGCTTGTGGAACAGTTGGTGTTATTCATGCAATAGGAAATGCAACATCTCAAATCAAGCTAGGTAACTTTGGAACTTCAGATTTGCATTGAGCTAATGGTGTACTGTCTTACATTTTACAAGTTGCTGTTTTGAGTCACTATGAGTCTTAGAAGGCTGAACTTCTCCTGTTCTTGTGCCAATTCAGCTAGTTTGCTCGAATGTAATTAGTAACTAGTAGGCAATAGGCATTCAGGTCTATTTACCAACAGTTAGTACTATTTATGATATCAGTCTTCAGAGTAAATACTTTGCTTGGATTTATGAAACTTCATTGTGCCCTCTTGTCTCTGTCACTAGTCAAACTAAAAATAGTTTGACTTAATCACTTAATCAAGTGGGTTTAGCTTGAGACCTGAGGGCATGGTTACTGGCCAATCAGCATATTATGGAGAAAACTACAATGACACTCTATTCAGCTCCTTGTCTGTTTCGCCTTATGTTTCCATGATCTATTATCATAAATTGGAAAATTTTCATATCCTGATCAGTTTTTTTTTTCGGCATAATATTATTGATGTATAGTTCATATTTTCATGAAGGTAAGTATTGACGAATTGTGACTTGTCCCAGTAGCTATGCACACTTTTCTCTCTCTGTATGTTGTGAACTTTAATTTGTTTTTATTGAACATGCACCTTAAATGGAGTAGTTTGAATTTTAATTACATTTGACTTGCTTGTAGCATGACTTCATGGCCTCATGGGTACCTTTCATATTTGCAGTTGAGGGGTCCTATTTTGAGAAGTTCTATAAGCAAACAGCTGATATGGATCCAGTCCAGGTTGATATTCAAATATGTAACTTCATTTTTCCGTACTCTTCATGGTCAAATTTGTTTTGTTCTCATGTATGAAATATTTGCTGCCATCAGCGTGCTACCTTTCTCGAGGAAGATGATGAGATGGAGGATGCACATTCTGTTGCTGCATCTGCTGGTGACACTGATGTAAGCCCACCCAAGCAGTTTCTTCTGATATGTATATTATTTGAGTTCAGCGTTAAATTTTATTCACTGGAGTATGAAATCAGTTTTGCCTCTTGACATTATTGTTGTTTCAACTCTTTTTGTTAAATGTTGCTGACAGAGTACCATTTATAAGAGCCATAGTTGGTAGTTTCTTCCATTTGCTAGTTCAGGTGGTAACCTGCAGGGCACTCAAATAATATGCTCCTTGAAGGAATGCTCAATAAAACTAAAAGCTCAGTGCAATAATGGTAGATAAATAATTAAATGTCCTTGATAATAGTAGTCCTCTATTCCTCTCTAAATTTTATTGTCTTTTGTCATCTTAAAATTGTCTTGCTTTCATGTGCAGGCTAATGTTGATGTTAATGAACATTTTGTATGTTTCTCCTGTGTTGATGGTAGGTGGTGCCAGTATTGCCCCCAGTAAAATAGTTCATCTTACAGTTTGTAGCGCACATCTATTTATTTATTAGTAAGCTTCTGATATATATTTTTTTCCTTGGCATGCATCAGGTGAACTTTATGAGCTTGATGGACGAAAATCACAACCCACATCCCATGGCCCTTCATCACCTGAAACCTTGTTGCAGGTGCAATATTTCCTTCACTTTTGCTTGCTTCTTATCTTCAACCTTTTGGTTTAAGAAATATGCAGATTTCTGCGACTTGTCATGTGGGCTGTTTCTTTACCATATAGTTTGGTGCTTTTGTACCTTATGTGAATAAAAGTTTATGAGTAAAATGCACTGCTGGTCCTGGAACTTGGTTTGGTGCCATCCAGGTTCCCAAGCTTCCAAAACGCACATCCAAGTCTCTAAAGTTACTAATCGTGTTGTGTGAGGTCCAAATTATTATAACTTGAATTAATCCGCCTGCATGTCATGCTGATTGCATGATGAGTTGACATAACCGACATCGGGGTCTATAAGCTGGTCTTATCTCCTTCTCACCTATCGGCATGTGGGCCCCATGTCTGTCATTTCATTGTGCCATCAGCGTGTGACGTAGATGTATTAACTCAAGTTATGGTGATTTAGACCTCAAGTGAGTAAGTGACATAATTAGTAGGTTTAGAGCATCTCCACCAGTCTCCTAATAATCTATCCCCAATATGTATGTTGCCTAGTATTATTTTTGTGAATATTGGGGGAGTTACTATAGCAGTACTCCAATATATCTCCCCCAATACCAATATGAAAGTTGGTTCCCGTAGATATGTATGGGAAAAGATGGCTGAAAAGTGAAAGTTAGGGTGGGCCCTATGCTATTGGGGAGATGCAACTTCCCTTTGTTTGAGGGCAGACAATGGAAATATTGGTGGCCACCAAAAAAAGTGAGGTATTGTGGAACTGTTTAATAGGGATAGGGAAGGTATTTGGGGGGACTGTTGGAGCAAGAGAAAAAACATAGTTACTTCCAATATGTAGTTTTATTTTATGGGGATATGGGAAGGTATTAGGGACTGCTAGAGATGCTGGCCTGGATGTGCATTTTAGAAGCTTGGGGTGCCAACGGGGACTTAAATGGCACCCCAGCCAAGTTCTAGGAACAAAGGTGCATCTTATGAATAAAACCGAAGGGTTTAGTGCTATTGTTCCTTTTATGAATAAACTTTATAAATATGGAGATGTGCATGCTAATGTGTATTTGCATTTAGCTTTGTGCATTCTTTGTTTTGCCTAATGCAACATGTGTAATTGTTTTTGTACCGATGTACCTTTAATTTGTTTTCCTTTTTTTGTTCTATCATAGAAGAGCGATCTGATTGTGTGCTTTAAATCTGTCCACAGGATGCTGCAAAAGTCATCAAAGCTAGAATTGCAGAGAACCCTAACTCGATGAACTTCAACGTCATGGCTCTTTCAAAGAAGTGAAGTATACTGTGATGGATGGGTTTTCTTTGGCAGAATACGGGCCCCTTTTCCTTACACTTCCGCTGTGCACTGCACCGAGTGGAAGGCTTGCATAGGGGAAACAAATATAGGAAAAAGCTTTATATGACCTGAGATGTTTGGTTGATGACTCGATGTATTCCCGTGCCTTCTTGATGCAGAGAAATGGTTTTACACGATTTCACCTTTTTCCGGAGTATTAGTTATCAAATGGAGACTTGCATAGGACGAGTTTCTCTTTGTTGTATCTGAACCATTGCAGCGTCCTCCGCAAATCGATTCCATAATAAAGCTAGCATTTCTATGTTTTCCGTGCAAATGCATGTAGTTTTCTGCAGAATGTGACTCATATTAAACGGAATTGATAACCCCTGGCAAACCAATGGAAACGTTGGGCGGGGGGATTGCATGCATTTACAAAGGGTAACAACACAGCCAAAAACACTACGATAATGTGCCTTATTCGTATTTCTATGTTCTCTCTTTGTGTTCTGTATTGTATGTATATATAGGTGCTGAAAACATGAAAAACAAAATGCAAACGCAAAAAAGAACGAGCGGGTATTAGCTACTACTACTACTATTACTGCATGTTGGTGTTCTGCTGTGGAGCCCTGCACGCGGCGTCCAGCGAATTCGGAAGCGACGCCGAGAACGCGGCCATCGACTGGAACACGGCAGGCAGCTTCCCCTGCACGCCGGTGACCGTGGCCGTCCTCGTGGCGTCGATGGCCTTGGCATGCCTCCGCATCTCGTCCTCCACCATCTTCCGGCAAGCCGCGATCTCGTCCCTGCGCTGCGCCACCTCGTTACCCGCGTCGCGCGCCTGCATGTGGTCCCTCCACGCGGGCCTCCCCCAGTGCCACATCGACATGAACCCGGGCAGGTACGAGTCGTAGTAGCTCTTCTCGACCTGCCCCAGCATCCGGGACTTGCGGTCCAGCTCCCGGGAGTACTGCCTCACGCGCCGCGCCACCCGCAGCTCGTCGCCCTGGAGCGCGTGGATCCCGCGGACCGCTCCCGCGAAGCTCTTGATCGCCTTGAGCACGTCCACGCAGTGCACGCGGTCGAGCACCTTCCCCCACCGGTCGACGAACGCGGCGAGCTCCGCCGCCACGGGGGAGCCCACCGCCTCGGCGGCGCCGCTGACCGGCGTCAGCGTCAGCTTGAGCCAGCCGCCGATGGCGTCGACGTAGTCGCGCTGGTGCTTCGCCACGTGCGCCATGGCCGCGGACCAGGCGTTCATGGCGGCCTCGAGCGCCCGCGTGGCCTGGTGGTGGATCTCGGTCGTGGGGTCCATGGACGTGCGGCTGCTCAGCCCGCGCAGCTGTTGCGCGAACAGGCTCTGCGCCTCGTGGTGCTGCCGCATCACCCGCCACATGTCGAGCGTGGCGTGGCAGAGCTCCAGGAGCTGGCGCGCGAGGTGGGTGTCGCGGAGCTGGGCGATTGCGGACGAGGTCACGTCCACGGACTCGGAGGCGGTCTCGAGCTGCGCGCGCGCCCTGTCCCACGCCGCCTTGAGCTTCTGGATGTCCACGTCGATCTTCCGGCTGTACTCCTGGTCCCGCAGCTCGGCGAGCTTCTTGTCGTGCCTTATTTGCAGTTTCTCCCTGGCCTGCATGGTAATGGTATGGTAAACGTAAACATCACGTCGTCCCAGTGGTAAGACAAGCTATATATATCATCGTGGCTGCTTTTAGCAATTGACAACAATAATGCAGGAAGCAATTGTGTTTTTTATTGTTGGATCACCTTGACATCCTTGTAGAGCTTCTTCTCCCATGCGAGGAGCTGCTGCAAGGTGGCGCTGTGCCTCTGCCGGCTGCTCATGCTGTCGATGCGGTCGAGCGCTGGCGCCGAAAGGCAGCAGAGCGCGCCCAAGAAGCTGTGTGAGCCACCTGCAAGCAAATTCAGGTGGCCAGTCAGTGACACGACTCACCACACACGTCTTCTCATCCCATTGGCCAGTCAGTGACTGTGAGTCTGTACTGTGACGCGGCGGCTTACCCTTGAACTCGGTGGTACTGGCCTCAAGCAGGCTCGACACCGTGTCGCCGGCGACGCTGGCCTTGAGGAAGTGCTCCTCCAGCCCCGCCGCGACCTCCGCGAGGCTACGGTGCCTCACGACCATCCTCAGCTCCTCCTCGGCACCATCAACGCCGGCGCCTTCGGTCCGCGTAGGCGCTGCCACCACGCCAACGCCAGCAGAAACGCCGCTGCCCCCGTCCTGCTGCCGCGCCTCGCCCTGTGGCTGTGGCTGCTCCATGGCGCGGAGCAGCGGCGGCGGTGAGGAGGGGACGACGACGGGGCGGTGCGCGATCACCGCGGGCGGGGTGTGGTCGGACACCAGGAGCGGCTCGCCGACCGCGAAGCGCGTGAGCGCGGACGCGACGACGCCGAGCGACCGGAGGTACGCCGCGTGCGACGCCGCCAGGTGCCGCCGCAGGCGCACGGCCTCCCGCATGAGCCGCCGCCGCTCCCGGCACCGCTTCGTGTGCTCCCGCGCCGCCGCGCGCGCCGCGTCCGCTTCCCGCGACGAGGCGGCTCCCATTCTTGCTTCGAGGCTAAGCTGCAACTGCAAGCTAGCTAGCGTATGTACGGTCGCGGCTGGAGCTGGAGGCGACTACGCTGCCGATGTGGGATAGATTATGCGAGGTGATCAGGCGAGCGGTGGAGAGAAGCTGCGCGCTGAGCAGGTTTAGGAGGGTTTAGCAATCGAGGGAGTGTACTTATCGGCGTCGATCATCTTGATGGCGCGTTGGTTACGAACACGCACCGAACAGGGTAGTGGAAAGGAGGGTATGGAAGAGGAGAAAGGCGATCGACGGTATCAGCGAAGACGGGAAGGTGGTGGGAAAAGGAGGAGCATCATCGCGCCTATTCAGATGGAGCTTACGCGTATCAAATGCGTGGTGTTTTTTTTTATAAAAAAAAAATCAGGTTTCGGTGGGTGCACCAGACAGAATCCCAAAGCCATCCACGTACCTCTGCTGCTTTGCTGATTGATTGCCTCCAGCTGAGTATTTTTTTTTATTGAACTTATCAGGGAGAACCTATAGTATTTTTTTTCTCACAACAAAACAGTTTCAGCCGGCTTTAATACCAGCCGAACAGCATGTCGAGGGGTACAACTGCGTGTTGCTATTGTAAGCTGACTCGTGTCAGTACGAGCGAACACTATGTGCATATGAGAAAACTAAAAGCCGTATGATCTAACATTGTGAACAGGTCATCATCCTCAAAGTATGTATGTCGAATTGATCAACAGTTCAACACTGCTATGGGCTATGGCCTTTGGGTGAAGGCCTAAGGCGCGTGCATCAGCTGAATTGAACCGTGACGATTGCTCCATGCACAGGTGCCCTCGTCTTAATTTGAACTGAATATATGCCGATGGTGCACGTGTTAGCCAGAGGTCAAGTCAAGGTTCTTCGCGCCGGTGGTTCTAGCACTCCACGAGGAGTCCAAATTCTCGTTGCACACGGTAGACATCCAATTGAACACAAGCACAAAATTCCTTGCACACGTTAAAAAATTCGAATCGTGGGCCGTCGGCTCGAAAGCGAGGAGCGAGGATGAGAGAGGATCTCGCACGAAGGATCCTAATGTATACTGATTCCTTTGAACAACAGGGGATTTAAATATTCATGGTTAAGGATAAGGAAACCGAGGATGAGCCATACTAGTACCATACACTAGCTTATCGGTAGCTAGGCCCTCTAGAGCCATCGTGTCATCTCCCACTATTTCCCCTGTTCCCCCGCTTTGCTTCCGCGCTCAGTGCGCCTGCTCTTGCGAGGGGCCCCCCTTTTTACCAAAGCCGTATGAATGAATGGTTCATGACTGATTGGTCGTCTACGTACGAACAGAGGCTCCGAAAGCGCATTTCGGTGCATGCAGTCTGTGGTTTGGGGATGACGATGGAGGAGGAGAGAGACATCTATCGCCGATGGGCTTTACAGTTTGACAGCATGAAAGCTGACGAATGAAGTCCTGAACGGTGGTGGCCAAGTGCAAGGAATTTTGTTCAGCACAGCTGAGCACGACGGAACACTGATCGGCTCACAGTTGACAGAATTATGTACGTTGGTTTCTGTAGTTATGGGATTTTACTTACGGTTTATGTGCACTGATCTCTATGGGCTTTGAATTGAGGCCCATGAACGCATGGATACATCCATGATGGCCCGGGAAACAGCGAAGGAGAAATTCCTAACAGCCAACGGCCGCACCAGGCAGTGAGGCAGGGACGCAGGTAGCTAGGCAGCCCGACCCTAGTGACAGCATTGGACGCGGGCCGTGCTGCTCCTAGAGCCCTAGGAAAGGCTTCTGCCACGACGGCGGCGGCCTGGTTGCAGCAACTTTCGACGTGTTTGCCCTCCGTGCGTTACCCTCCTTTACGCGGGCAACCACGTTCTGCGTCAAGATAGCGTCAACAAGCTGACTCGGCGGCCTACCCTGCTTTTGCACGGGCTGATTCGGAGGCTGCTTGTGCTCGATCTTAATGCCGTGCCCACATCCATCGCCGTCACGTTGAATCAGCAGTGAGACCAGGGCAATGAGGTTCGAGACCGGGGCAACGAGGTTTACCTGCTGGAGATCTGAAGCTGAAAAGATCATGCCGACCGTCTCTTTGCTTCGGAAGAGGGGCGAGGGCACCAGACTGGATCACTTCATGCGCTTATCTGATGGCAATGGCATGCCCTTGCCGTTGTCAGGTGTCGGCTACTCGTCTGCAGTATGCGATGCAGAGAGCAGCGCTATACATGTCTCGATTTTCGGCTATGCCTCCGTCCACAAAAGAATGCACTACGAGTTACGTGCCAATAAAAGTGATTCACATTTAACTAAACTTATAGTGAATACTATTTACGTTTATGGCTCCAAAATAATTTGCTATAAAAATTCATTTCGATATAATATAATGATATTTATTTAATATCATAAATATTGATATATTTTTATCTATAAGTGATCGAACTTACTAGATACTAAACAATGACATTGTGCTAGAATTGCATTCTCTCATGGACGTAGGAGCGCTATTTTGAATACGAGAATAGCATTGCAAGGCCGACTGTTTCATCTGAGATTCGGGTACTTTTTCTGTTCATTTATTTTCAGTGTAATATGTGCTCACACAATAAATAAATGTGCTAGTCGGCAAATGGAAACATCGGCTGTCTTCAGTTCGGCTACATCTTCCATTGCACGCAAGCCCTGTTCCTACGAGCTTTTGAAACCTTTGACGCTCCGGAAATTGAAGGCCAGCTGTTAAGCACAAAACAGCCTCATTTTCAGTGGAACCGTGACCCCCTACCATCATGGATAAGCACGAGGTCCTTATCCAAATCAATTCGCTTCCTCATTGGCTAGGATATTAACATTCCAGCCGGAATTAAAAAAAAAGGATAACTAGGCCTGTTTTGTGTTGTGCACCGAGCCACCAGCCCATCAGCATCGCACCATGACCATACAATTTGCCAAAGCAACGGTGGTGGATCGATTAGTTTATTTTGGCTAATGCGCGCTGGTCTCGCACGTCACGTGCCGGCTTTTCTGCTCCGTTTCCAGCGGCGCCTCTGAATTCTGAAATCGGAATACGGCTGCTCTCCTGCTCGTCTGGTTGGTTTTGAAATGCAGGTCTCTGTCTGTTGACCATGTCTTCAGTTTGACAGCAGTTTCCTCCCTCTCGTCTCATGTGACCATTCTATCGCTAATGGTAAATATAAAAGATTAATTATTCTTTGTAAAGTATATTGTATATATCTGAGTACCAACAATTAGTGTGCGTTGGGTTACTAAACAAAAATTTAATGAGGAAACGTCCAATGAAATGGTAGTGTTGGACTCTGCATCAGGATCAAGCCAACAGCAGCGTGCACGTTCCAATTAGACAATGAACTAGAATCTGCTGATTTCAAAGGAACCACTTTGAACACCAAAGAACAAAGAATAATATCCATTCTAGAAATGCTGATGCAAGTTTGCACCAGGACCACCAGCCTCTCACGGAGAAGCTTCCGATTTCATCTCATCCGAATCCAACGGAGGATGAAAGAACAAACAGGTTCTACACATTACAAGCTCCTCAGAACACCACACTAGCGACCATGGAGGAACAAATTCCGTGCGAACCAGGAACATCCTGATGACGATGCCCTCGACCTCATCCCACGCATTTCTTGGAGCAGTGTGTGTGCTTGACGCGCATCTTGTTGCTCTGTTCTTGACTTCTTGCACTGAGCTGAATCCATCAACCACACCCCATTGATACAGCAATAGTTAGCTCACTAGCTGCTGGACCGGGCCGGCGGCGAACCACGGATGGGCCGGGAGGGTTAGCTGGACGGGAGCCTGCGCCGGCGCCGGCGGGGGTGGGACAAGGGCCATGGCCATGGTCGCGGCAGCGGCCTCGCCTCTCTTCCTCCGCTTTGGTGTCCCAGAGCCAGAGGACGAGGAGGATGAAGGGGAAGAAGAGTCGGAGCTCGCGGTCGGCTCGGGGGACGCCCGCTTGTCTCCCACGGCAGGGGCAGTGGCAGCGGTCGCGGCCGCGGCGGCGATCTCGGAGCCGATGCGGAGCGGGAAGTTGAGGAGCGCGCGGGAGCCGCGCATGCGGTAGGCGGCGCGGTCGTAGGCCACGGCGGCGTCCTCGGCGCTGTCGTAGGTGCCGAGCCACACGCGCGCGCCGTTCCTGGCCGGGTCCCGGATCTCCGCCGCGAACTTGCCCCACGGCCGCTGCCTCACCCCGCGGTAGTGCTTGCCCCTGCTGGCCACCACCGCGGCGGCCGCGGCCTCCTCCTCGCTCCCGCCGGGCGTCATCGCCGCCGCCTCGGTCGCCGTCTCAGGCTCCTCCTCCGCGAGAAGAAGGCCGCCAGCCGCGCCACCAAGGTAGGAGGAATAGGATCCGTGCTCGTAGGGGGAGTCGTCCGGGGACGACGCCAGGGGCTCGGGCTTGACGGCGGCGAAGGAGCCGTCGGGGAGCCAGCCCCGGGAGAAGGCGTCGCGGAGCGCGCCGAAGACCACCATGTCGTCGGCGTCGTCGGGGCGGAACGGGAGCGACTCGCTCCACTGGTCCGCCACCAGGCTGCCGAAGCTCGTGCTGCGGCAGTACACCGGCCGCGGAGCCGCGCTCGCGCTCATGGTCGCCACCGACGACGACGCCGCGGGCTCGTCCTCGTGATGCCGGATGCTGTCCAGCGCCGCCGACTCGCACGCCGGGTTAAGCAGCAGCATCTTTGTTGGGGCTGCGTTTCCGTCACGTGATGTTGTGGTTTGGAGGGATTTTAAGCGTTTGATTCGGGATTTTTTGGATTCGGAGGAAGTTGGGCACGGCCCGGGTTTATATAGCGGTGACTGGCGAGGTGGGGCCGCATTGCCATTTGTCCTCGCGCTTCTAGATGACCTTCCTTGAATTTTCCGGCGTTACTTTCACGTGCTTCGATCGTTTTCGAAGCTACGGACGGAAGAAACTATTATACTATAGCAGCTTTGGTTCTGGTAGCACAATTATAAATTGATTTGACTGTATTACTACATAGGAGTAATATATATAAGAAAATCAATACATTTTGGAACATAATATATTTCTGCTAGTAATATATAAGTTTCCATAACTACTACTGAACTTGTTTGGGATCCACCAGCTGAGGACGTATGGGATTTTCGAGTTCCCAATGGTAGACCTATTTGAACTCCACTTGTTAATGTATAGCCACGAGCGCAATGTCCTTGATCATTCCATGCCTCTCATTGCCTTACTAATTACCTGCACACTCCTTTAGAACCTTCATCTTAATCCTTATTAGGCGCGTTAACGATAGATGAACTAATTCTCACAAAATTAGAACAACCGTCGAAGCATTATTGACAATAAATAACCATTGGCTCTATTCAATTTTTCTAGATGGTCAACCACATTCACCGTTATTGAAAGACTCTAGACTAATTCCCTATATCTACATGTAAATTATCAAACTCTACATTATAAAATAACTTTAAGTAACACCTAATCTTCATCCACATTAACCCCACTCTTGTCATTATAAAAAATATAAATTAGTCTCTATAATAATATTTGCATCTAAATCATCCACCTCCAAGGATAAAAGATAAGAAAAACATCTATACGATTTGAGGATTCAACTAGAAACCTACAACATTAAATGTCAACTTTGAAGTTTAAACTCAATATTGGGAACCATGAACTCCGAATTCTTTTTTAGCTTTTATAATCCAAAGAATTATTCACAAAAGTTCCAAATAACTAAAAGCATAGAAGTCCTCTCATTTCAGCTTGCTCTGATTACAAGAGTATTCGTTGTGAACTTGTGCCATCTCCAAGCTATGAAGAACAAAACTTGGAGTTTAGAATTTGAAGGGTTTTACTTTAAAGTTTATACCAATTTCAAAGTTTTTTTTTTATCACTGGTCGTTCCCTGCTCCTCTACTACCTTTGTGTCAGTATGGGCCTGTTTGGTTGAGAATGCAGGCAGGTTTTTCCTAGACAACATGATGCGCACACGTCTATGCAGCACGTGTAGCAAGTTGTTGTGGCCCGATCTTTTGGTTGAACTTGATAAATCGCGACCTGGTGAAGAGGCAATGCACCGCGAGGCTGTTACCGAGACAATCCTTCCACGACAACAATTTCAGCCCACGCAATCACGCCAGTATTGAAGGCACAAATGGGTTTGAGTTCTACAACTCCTCAGAATCGAAAAGAACAAGTTTGCAAGCCTCTTAAGACTCACGCTAGAACAAGAATTCCAAGAGTTGGCTGAAATTGCAATCACGAGTTCTGTTCACGTCATCCATTACAGGATATATAGCACTAGTGGAGTTTTAGTTTGGTGGAAAATAATTGAGAACATGTAGTGGGAAGTTGCAGCACTACTTATTATTAATAACCAAGCCTAGTAGGGCGCCTATTGGTTGGTATTCTCTGCATGCATGCTGAAGCGTGTGTGGACAACAACCTAGTTGTTGGTTGCATGCATTCCTAACTCCCAAATTATTTGCTTGCACTTCAACAATTTGATATTCATGGTAGCTGAATGGCTTTCCTCTCTCATGCACGTCCAGGTTCCATGCATATATTTGGCGGGCATAATCCATCATCATCCCATGCTTGTTCATGCACTCCATCATTCCTAAGAACATTGAAACAAGTACTCAAAAGCATAGGTTCATTCAATGTAATCTGATTATTAAGCATAAGGTTAGCGTTCACCTGCGAATGAATTTTCTTCTCCAATTGTTTAGCTCTACTCCTTGTAATTGGACCAGCTATATCAAGTGTAGCTTCATTTGGAGATAAGTGAATGCTAGGAATGTCTTCATTACAACAATTCAGGCCATTGATTTTGAGCTAGCAACCAAGATCGCCGCTAGACAAATAAGCTATCTGTCAGGTCACGAATCAAATAGGTCCTATAACTCTTAATCATGATCGTCCATTCGTTCTCACCTCCGCTGAACCTGTGAGATTTATTATCGTCCCCTTGTGGCTGCCAACCAACAATTTGCCCTACTTTGCCGCAAGCACGGCACAATGGTGGGATTAGAGCTGTTGCGCTCATTTTCTACTTATTTATATATGCTTATGTGCTTCGTCAAATCATAATAACCCTACCGCGGTACCATTCTCACTGCATTTATAAATACTCCTACGTGGAATAGAAGTATAACTTGTTGTGCGGTTGCCTGAGCGACTCATGGACCAGAGATTTATTTGATAATAACATCATGCATTTAAAATGAAGTTAATCAACTATAGCTATATGGAGGCAGTGGAGACATATAGAGAGAATACAAGAACAATCAAATAAATGAACAAAATTATCTACAAAAAATGTTTCAAGCGAAAGACTTTGAATGTTACAATGAAAAAGAACTGGCTAGCCGTGTATTCACAGGGACCACCTTGCTCCTTTCTATAAAAAATACTCTCCTCTATCTAGAAAAACATGCAATTCTAGTGTGGTACCATGTGTTTAGTATATTATATTTAACCAATTATATATGAAAAAAACTATAAATATTTATAACATCTAATAAATATCATTAGATTAGTTATGAAATATATTTTTATAATAAATTAATTTGTAGTCATAAATATGAATATTATGCATTAAAAACTTGATTAAACGTGAATAACTTTATCTGGCACGCAACGCATAGTTGCATGTTTCTCTGCGGCGAGCACTATCGGTTGCATGATCATCCGCGCATGCTTGCGGGGCAGCAAATTGGCAAAGACAGGATAGGTCATCGCAAAGACCTAAAAGGTCACTCCTGTTCAATCGTGCGTTACATTGTTCCTAGACCATATTCCCAAAATAAAGGAAAGAGAGAAAGGAGGAGAAGACGACGGCGACCATGTTCTCTAGTCTGCATTTTCTATTGTGTTCGAAACTAGTATAGAGAATAGTAGAGAACAGAAAAGAACGCCGCAATTTGTGTATATTTAACTCGTGTGCTAACAGCGGAGTGCTAGCTTGAGGTCCTCGTTATCTTGCACGTGGTACATTTCACCATGCGTGCCATCGACACACAGTGCATACATACCTGCATTCTCTTCTACATTTGTTTGATTCATGCATGGGTCATGGAGGAATCTGACTTTACAAACATTGCTCATGCTGGAGTCTGGACTGAGACGCAGAAAGTATTTGATTCTCGTGTACATGAAGCACCACGCGTCGCTGAGAGGCGGTATAGGAGGATGATAGTGTTTTGGTTGGTTCCTGGCTCGTTGCATCTGCGGTCGAATTGACATCTGGAACCAAATCACTGTCGTGTTATTGCCTGGGTCAGACATTAGAGTTATAGAGTATGATGAGTATAGAGTGGCAAACATTGACAGAGGAAACCTCACGGTTGCTTCCTCTTCCCTGAAATTTTCTACTGCTCCACGTGCTGCTCGAGGAGTTCAGTGATTGCACCGAAAATCTACTGTGGAAAGTGTAAATTATTTTCAAAAGGAAAAAAAAAAAAGATCTTCAGTGTTTCTCGATGACGTTAACTCACTATTCTTTAATCTCTCGTACCACAAAAAAGATCTCGATGTGTGGCTCCATGTCACTCGAATTGCACAGTAACTAATAACAACCAGAAGAATCTACAGCTTATTACTGACATTTCCTATTTTTCCATGAAGATCTTGTGGTTGTTGCATACCGGCAGTGGCAGCATAGACCAATCGTGCAGGGGCAGCCATCTAGCAAGGCCCTTTCAAACCTCGAATCCGCTCCATCACTGTTGCTAATTTTGTTGTGGAGCAGACATTCAGACAGACGTCGTGATCTGGTTCAGACTCTCCTTCGATCAGATGGCGGATGTCTCACTTCGCTTCAAACGGGCTACGGCCGGCGGCACGGCTGCGCATTTCATGGGTCTGGGGGAAATGAACCTGCCCTGTCCTGAGTCCTGACACCAATCCCACCATCAAAATTGCAACGAAAGGCGACGAAAAGAAAATGAAACCAACGACAACAACCATGGGGCGTCATTTTCGACCAGAGAAAATAGATAAAGAAGACTTTTCGTGCTAAATCGTCACGTGCTCTGCTGACCTGATCATCCAAAATTGAAAATTCAGAGGACAAATAAACAATACGGTCATGGTTATGGGGATGCGTGGGTCCCAAGCCCGTGCACGAGTAGACTAGGAGCTGCAAGTTGCAAGCGTTTCCATCTTGAGAATTTTGTCCACGGGACATCCATAAAACTTGGTTTTATACATGGCACACCGTATTTGTAGATTTAGTCTCCAGGACATTATAAAACAATGGCTTTTATTCACAGCACACTATATCTATTATTTAATCTTTTTTGGACCAAGAGTGTGGTGAGTGGATGCTTCTACCCTTGTTTTTGCTGTTCCTTGCGCTACACACGGCAACACGCTCACCTTGCTCGGGCTTGACCATCCACCTCCGTGTGCATCTGCTAAGGTAGGAACTGATTCGGATCGGACTCGTATGAAATCAAATGAAATCAAATACGGATAGCACCTATTTATCATATTTTAATTCGAATACACGGATATTATCATATACAAATGCAAAAAAGAAATGTCTCGAATCCGGCTTGACATTCAAATATCTACTATATTTTGACGATAACGTATTTCTATTTGCTTGTCGGTAGTTTTAGTAGAACATAATCATTATGCACGTAGAGAATACGATTTTATAACATAAGGTAGTCCCGCGCTGCACATGCCAATTATAAAACAAAATAAAATGTCCAGCGTTGCATGTGTCGATGCAGGATGAGCTGAAGGGATTCATGCATCACTAACACATGGTATAGTCAAGTTGCATCTGCTCATATAGACAATCAAACTGCCGCCGCCTAGCTTCGCTCGGCTCGGCTCTTTTACGGGCTTGAGCTGCCTTGACTCCAAAGTTTATAGGTTCAGGTCTAGGTCCAGCCATCAATCAACCAATTAAGTGCATGGGCCGAAGTGCTAGCTCAGCTACCGAGCCACTAATGAGCCGAGTCGAGCAAGCTACCTAGTTTTGAGTTTTTCGTCCAACCCTAATTATGACTTTTTTGCCTTAATTTTTTATTGCAATACGTGAATTGGTTCATATATTATTTTTTCCACTTGAACATGCCCCACCTTGCTACCGAGCCACGTGAATGGGTTGCTAGATGGGGCCGCGTCGGTGAGCACGAGCCATAGAATGTAGCAAGGTATATAGGTCCATTTACTCTACCCCTCTCCCTCGTTAAGATGCGAAATATTTTTCTACTATGAGAAGTGTGTCTGGGATAAAAAAAAAACATGACTTCGCAGTGTTTACTTGACCAAAGCGACGAGTGCAATGTGCGCTGCACAAAACCATACTTTTCAGTCTGTTCACTTATTGGTTTCAACCAGAGCTTATCAGCTATGATATATTGTTTTTTTCTCACAATAACTCAGCACCAGTGACAGGCTGTCTTGGATGTCCTGGAGACAGAAGGCTCTTCCATCTTCGGGCAGTTTCCTCGCGACGGAGACCGCGGTTCAGTGGGACCTCATCCTAACAGTGACAGCTCCAATGGCCGCTGCCAGTTTTCCAGTCCTTTGACGCATCGCAACGGCGATGGATAGCGCGCGATGCGATTGTCGTTGACCCTAAAACACTTGTTACAGGAGGACACCACGTGTGTAACCTATAGCAACAGACCTTACATTAGAGCATCGATGTTTTATTGGACCCTCAAACTCATTTTTGAGAGGTAGAATTATATATTATTATTATTAATAATAGAAGTTCAACAGGACCTCTATTTGGCTCTGAAGAATGGGAAGGCTCACAAATTAGTCCATCAAGCCCTTGTTTCCCTTGCTTGAGCTAAAGCCGTTCTGCCCCACTTGATCCGTTACACCTAGACCACTTGATCTTTAAGCTGACAAAGGATACCTCACTTGGCAAGGCCGTATTTTAATTTGCTTCTCATTATTACCTTGCCATAAAGAACCTTGATCAATAGAAATCAATTCTCTTTAGAATATTATGGGATTTAAAGTACTTTATAAACATAGGTAGACTAAGGACTGAATTTAATAAAACTTAGGTACCCGAAACATGCTAATTCAAAAGGACCTCTATTTGGCTCTGAAGAATGAGTAGTTTTGAGATGATTAGACCCAGTGGTATCTGGAACCTAATGGGTGCACATGTAGGTATGAATTCTTGTTTGTTAAACTTTGCAAGTAGCAGTACCGACTTCGTGACCAATACCCAGGCCCTCCTGCATCACCATGAACGCTCCCCTCCTTCTCCCCTTGTGGGGGCCTCGCCGATACAGTGGAGGGGCAAAGACCCTTCGCTATCTAGTCTAATCGTATTATGTTAGGACTTAGATCTAGATTGAATAAATTGTGCCATATGGGTTACCGGACGGTATCACCTTCGTCAATTCCTTGTCGGATCTTGTGTCTTGTAGAGAATTCCGATGCGCATGCCTTTCTGGGCATCCATCCCGCGCTCATCATGTAGTTTTGGTTTTTGCAAGATTGATGCAATTGGTGGGGATGTCCATGTTCCCCGTTTACATCTTTGTATCACCAACTCGCTAGATTTTGATCTCCTGTTGGCAGAGAAATTATCCAAATTTACAGTTTCAGCATGCATGTTACTGTTGGTGCTAGATTGGTGTGTCTTGAGTCTTGACCATATTCAATGACGAGGCGACATATGATCTTTCAGTTTGTCACATGAATCCTAGCAAGCTCTCGCGGTGTGAGATCATGTGGCGTTTACATTGTTTGGAGATTGTCATTATGGATGATTGGAGGGTGATGTTGCAATGGAGGCTAGTGGAATCACTGAATTTTGAAATATTGAAACTAGGCAATTGTCAAGGACATGGATAGAAGGTGAAGAATGTCATTAGTGGCTCTAGATTAGTCTAGTATATCTTTTTTTAATGTCCAGTGACTTTATGAAAAAGAAAGATGTAATTATACTCTCAATTTAATAGAATGTCTTCCCCATAGAAATAAAAAAATAACTTTCTAAATATAGGTATAATTAGGGGTTTAGGGTATGCTATCGGGGCTATTTGCTTCACCCAGTCGATCTACTGAAACTGCGAGAAATCAAAACCTACCTGAGTGCAGAAAATTGGCAGATTTCATACCGAGCTACTGGAAGTGTCCAAAACAAGGTCCGGAAGATGCATGTACACAAAGCCGGTTCATGACGGTACAATATATGATGACATATGGGCCTTTAGCACGGTTGCACAAAGTCCAATATCCCAGACTTCGGCCCCGCACATTACAAAAATGGCCCACTACTTGCAATCCTTGAATCAAGCTATAAGCCCAACTTTCTTTATGAAAGCGGCCCATGGATACTAAGGCCCATAAAAAAGGCACGTCCAGGAAAGGGGTAGAAGCACATGGGCAACAAGGTCTTTTCCTTCCACCCCGGCCTCCTCCCTCCACTCCCGGCGACCTCGCCGCCGCCGTGGCCATGGACCGGTGGACCGGCGTCCTCCACGTCCCCTTTTCCCGAGGCGGATCCCTCTTCCGCGTCGTCGCCTCACTCTTCCTCTCGCCCGCCAAAACGCTCGCCGTAAGGCCAAAACTTTCCCTTTCCTCTTCAGAGTTCAGACACTGGCCCTCTGCCTGCCTCGCCTACAGAGCCTGAACTCTCTGATGGCAGCAGGTTCCACGGGTCAACGCGATCCTTTTCACGGGCGACCGCGTCCGCTGCACCGGAGATCCGGCGATCGAACGGCTCTCGGACGCCGCCCACCTGGCTGGGGTCCTCGCCGGGAAGCTCCCTGTGGAGACCAATGCGTGGGTGATCGACGCCGCATGCTTTGCTGGGCCATTTGCGGTGTACCGAGAACTTGTTCCGACCATGGACGGCGCTGGAGACCCCAAGGGGTATGACCCCACTGGCCTTCCTGCCGCTGCCGGTGTTGCCAACATCCTTGCACACAGCATCGGTGAGGTATAATGTTTAGTGAATTCCACAGATACGAATTTTTAGCACAAATCATCTTTAGTCAGCTGCAAAGATCATCGGATTGCTGCATATTTTGGATCAAGAGGTTTCTATTAACATGCAAATGCAATCAAAGATACTTTTCCCACTGCTTGTAGAGCTGTAGTGAGTTCTCTGCTGTGGTTAGATTTCCTAATGCAGGAACTGTGGGGAAAATGGTATTTTTGCTACTTTTAAGTAATTAGCATGGTATTCAAAGCTTTAAGCAGCTATTGTAGCACTCCTGAACTAATTTGTATTGAATATATCTTGGATTTTCTATTGGGATAAGGAGGTGCCGTTTTAGTAACTGGACGACAAACTAGTTCGTTTCCTTCTTTGCTCTAAGAATGTTGAATGAGCCTCGCTCATTTGGTTCACGTTTGATGACATTAGCAAATGTTCCTCTAATTTTCCTTGCTGAGATAATGCTTAGGTACTGATGACATAATGCTCCAGTTAATTTGTGTAATAGACTGTTGCTTGATAAATTCAACCATTTGCATCGGTAATGGACAAAACCTGCTGACCGGTGTAATATTACTACAATGTTCAAACTAGATGCTTGCTTTCTTTAATTCGAAAGTCATTTCTTATCAACATTTTATTTTGGATATTGGGACATTTGGAAGACCCCATCATTTCACTATTTTCCATGCTGTTATTATGTTGACATATTGTGTTTATGCAGTTTTGAATTTTTCTAATGTTTCTGACCTAAACTTAAGCATCCCAGCTGTATTTGTTTTCTGAAGTAATGCTATCTGTATATTCTTTTTTAGGTAATCCTATTTGAATTTTAATTTTGTCACTTTCTTGTAGTCATGCCATCATGGTAGACTTCATACTATAAAACCCTGTGCTTTTCTATCCTCCTCTTTAATCTTTTCCCCACATATTATGTGATTAACAGATACAAAATCGGTTCTTGAGGTTCTCGGCAAAGGATTCGGCTGTCAATCAGCATCCTTCAGCATCATTGCCATCCTACTCTCCTCCTAGGACTATCATCCTTGGCTTCAGCAAGGGTGTAGTTGTTGTCAACCAACTTGTGACAGAACTTTCTCATTGGGCACCAGGATCAATGGAAAACACAGTTGATGTTTTGAGACCAAACCCATCGCATTTGACCCAGAATCTCTTGGTTCCTACTTCAAGTACTGATGTGTTATCAAGTATTTCTGAATTCCACTATGTGGATGTTGGCCTCAACTGTGCTGGAGCATACATAACTGACCATGAAGTGATCAAGAGGATATGTGATTATGTCGTGCATGCTGGTAAGAACATCCGCTTTGTCCTTCATGGTACTCCAAGGCAGTGGTCTGATCCGAGCCGCTCATGGATCCGGAAGGAGAAAGACATAATGCTCCAGGTGCTTCGAGATGAAGCTCAGAGGAGTGAACTAAGACTAGTGCCGTCTGAAAAGTTGTATTTTGAGGGTAGACCTCGCAGCCTGCTGATGCATTTTGAGATTTTGGAAGCAATGGATATAAGCTGATACTCAATCCGTACAGCTTGTAGCCTTGTATTTTCTCCATAGCATTTGCTACAGATAATGTAATGTGAATATACTTCAGGGGTCTTAGATGCTACTACTTTCCTTCATGCTGAAATGCTGACTTCAAGTTAGTGCCGTTCTGTTAGTTGTCTTTTACAAGATGGTGCAAGAGAAGTCATAGTTGACAATCAAAAACAGTTGAATACCTCAAATTAAAGTGATCGATGGAATACTTATGTGAGGTTCTTTGTCTGAAGATATTTTTGTTTTCCGTTGGAGATAAGCGTCTTCTTTTTTTCTTATTTTTCTCGCTGTGCTTATGAAAAGATTAGACTCTCCATTATGAGCTCTGCTCAAGGCTGTCAGGATAATCTGTTCTCTTTTGCTGATGTATGACTTGCCGGCCTGCCATTTTCATTCTGCCATGCGATCGGCGGGATTGTCTTTTGTCAGTTTTTCCTCCCTAGTATTCAGCTGTGAACAAGTCTCCCGTATTCAGCAAAACGACCAGAGCCTGTTGGCTGCGACGTAGTTGTTGGATCGGATATAGCACGACCACGATACCGAGCAGTGACGTTTTCCCGCAACTGAATCCTGGTTGGATGGACGCGCTTAGTTATTATTCAGTTATACTGTTGGTCTGTTGCGATATGCAAAGGAATGTTGAGCAATTCTTCGTCAAACAGAAGGATCTCATCTTCATGGTCCACGAGACGCATAAAGATGAAGCCGTAGGTGTAGGATAATGCCAGTAGTGGTTCTGTTAGTAAAGTGGCTAGTGCCGTACGAACACACACGAATGATACAAAATCCGATGGTGATTCCAGCTGCATTCTTCTCACTGTTCTTGTCTCACTCCCTGGAGAAGGCCTGAACCAGTCAAACGAGAGTAGTGTTTGCTGTTTCAAACAAGTTGCCAGATAGTTTTAGCACGAGGCCTTTCAACCCTACCCGCAGACGAATCAGGTTGACGCCCCTGTGATCTCTCGTATCTTTATACGGGACGTCCAAATCCGAACCTGCAGTTCCAGAAGAGAAGAAGGCAATCTATCTTTTTGGAAAAATGAGAACAATTCTACACTACGTGTGTCCCATCGGCAGCAATTTGCAAACGTGTAAGACGGTCGCCACCGGATCACGGAGCTTGGACGCATGCGACCTGTTGGTTGCTGCTGCTCATGCTCTTGGACTGACGCGCGCGCTGTCCGAGCTCGCTGCTGGAAGCGATCCGCTGTCTCCTTGCGCGGCCCCTCGCTGCGGGACAAAACACGAGTAAGACCGCACGAACGGATCAAATCAACCGCAGGGCGCAGGGCGGCAGGCAGGCCGACGCTGATTTGAGTCCAAAAATACGCTTTTTGGGGGAGCCTGATTGCTTCCGTAATCGGATCGCGATCGCCCCTTGAAGGGGTCAGCTCAGAGCTCAGAACTCTTTGTTTATTACTACCACTATCACTCACAGACCAACAAGACCTGAACGATCTGATCTTGTAGGCGTGCTGGTGTTTGGGTCTGAGAAGCAAGTCAGCCTGCATTGCTTTTGCTTCCGTCTAGAAGAAGATACGTGTAGCTTGGGTGTTGAGAGTTCAGAGCTCAGAGCTGGGAGGAGCCGTCAGGGACTGAGATTCCTGCATCGGTTTGAGCTCCGAATCAGACCGCGGACGCGATAGATTTATGCGTTCAAAGCAATGCGGCCGTTTTGTAATCATTGCGATCACGTTGACGGGCTGACAGGTACACACACGGGTGTTTTCCTGGAAGCATTAAGCAAAGTATCGTCGGATTACTCAAGCTGATCCGATCCGCTCGTTTACGAGGGGGCAATGTGACAGGGGGCGATGTGGATGCTGCCCTCTTCTCTTAGCAGGCCACGACGTTGGTGATTGCTTCATTTACCCTGCATATTCCAATCACCATCCCTGTCCCTGGCAGTCCATTCGTTCCCCGGCCTAGTGAATGTAACCACTTACCGGGCTGTGACAGCGAAATCTCGTGTAGGGACTAGAGACCCCTGTGATAAACTAATCCAGCTACTAGAAGACCGAAGCGAATAGGACAAATTCGGTGTCTTACCGGTACGACGATTAAAAATAAGAAGAAAAGAAAACGGCACACGTACTAGAGCACCTAGCTTTGCTAAGCAAACGCGTCCAAGCCTGATCAACCGTGGTGTGCTCAGACCTAAAAGGGGTAACTAGTGGTCTAATTCGTCTGCACTGTGCAGGACGGCACTGTGTCAACCTAACAATAAGGAGATATTCTCAGAGAAAAAGAGGATAAGGAGTGGCTAACGCAAAAACCGCGTGGCCACGAGGGCCCGGGGGTGCACGCGTGCATCCATCCGTCATCCCCCAGACATCATCAAGCGGACCTGGACGTCCCGTGCGTGCGTGTCTCGACGCTCGGCCGGCCGGCACCCGGATCGCCTAAAATTCAGCTCATGCTGACCCGCAAGCGTCCAACGTGGGAGGAGGATTTGCATGCCCTCATCAGGTCCCTCACCCCCCCCCACCCCGCGAGGTCAGGCTGCGACGAAAACGGGCTGACCTCGCCCGGAGGACGGGGTCCAAAGCGCAAATTCAAGCACGTTCGGGAGACCGTAAACGATCGTGGATTATTTACTGCTGACTGATTTGATATGAGAGAAAAATACTGTTTTAGCTGAAAATTTACGATCATTTACGACCCATCAAACAGGCTGCCGGTGCTGGGCGCACGCAGCGGCAGCGCCGCTTGCTCGGGTCCCGTCGGGGTGGGGCGGTCGCGGGTGCGGCCTGCGATAGTTTGGCGTGGGGTTCGTTTGAGTTTGACTTGGTCTTCCGCCTGCACCCACGTCGGTTTCTGGTTTCTCTCCGGGGTGGCGGGGCTGACTCTGGCAGAGAAAAAGTGTCGGTACGTGGTTATACGTGGCAGGTGTGCATGCGTGTGTACAAGCGGAGGCGCGGCCGTGCAAGGGGCTGCGCGCTCATCATGTACTACTACGTGGGGGAACAAATAAGGGCGCCACCCGATACGTGTCGAGAAGCGGTTAGCAGAGTAACAACCGACAAGCTAGTAGCAGGCAGCCTTTTTGCCACCGGTGGTATCGCTGTACCGGCAGCTGTTTGGTATATGGCTTGTTTAAGTTTACTCCCCGTGTGTTAGTTGATCTCCACCAGCATTTTATTAGTTTTTTTTGTCTCTGCTCCCTGATTGGGAGAGTCCAACCCCTAATACGGTTGATGGACTTCTGTCGCACAGCACATATAAAAGGTAAAGTGGGGATCAGGACTCGTGCTACGAGGTTCAACGAAGCCGCCGCCATCCCATCCACAATAAACCTAAACCGATCAAAGTAGTGCTGCTAGCGACGGGAAGCCCATCCACCACACCGCCGTTTCCTCTGCAGGGTCACCACGGTCTTCACCAGCGCCACTGGACTTCATCTCCACCGCGCTGGAGGCCTACTACACCGCGGCACCGGCGTCCGCGAGGCTATAGTCAAGGTGTGCAAGAGGAACCCGAAGCAGAGGTCTACCCGGTTCTACGGTTACACAGAGAGGTAATCTACGATTCTAATACTATGCTTGACACATGCATGGAGTATTAGATATAGACTAAACATAACTAATTATACAGATTGTGACTAATTTACGAGATGAATTTTTAAGCCTAATTAGTCCATGATTTGACAATATGGTGCTACAGTAAACATATGCTGATGATGGATTAATTAGGCTTAATAAATTCGTCTCGTGGATTACTGAGGACTTCTGTAATTTATTTTATTATTATTATTCGAACACTCACATGTGACACCCTGACATCCGATCTGACGTCCCTAAACTTTACTCTGGATTTAAACACCACCTAACGCTAACGACGATGCACCCCTATAGCTATCCGTGTCACGTCCCATGAACCCGTGACGGGTACGTGCGATATAACGATGCGCGCGATCGAGCCTAGCTGCCGGCCGGCCGGGTTGTTAATCAGTGTGCGGCACCGTCTCATTTAATCGTGGGGCTAGCAGCACTCATCGATCAGGCTCTCGGCCGGGCGGCCCTAGTCACGTCTGCTAGCTGCAGACAAACAACGGTGGCGAAGGGAACTGGACAGATGGGACGTAACGGAGAAGAGATCCCGTATACGTCCATCTTCTATGTACGTACCATTGCGTCGTCGTTCATAACACAGAACGTCTGTACACCGAACTCCATTGGGTCGTTCATATCTCCACGCGTACATGCTTGCATGCTCTAGCACATATCGGATTATCGAATGTGGTGTACACCCATGTGCGTACAACCCGGAAAACCTTAAGCTTCCACGAGCAAAAAAATCAAACTTGTTGCCAAACTTCATGTACCAGACCAGCCTTATCAGAACCTTGTACTGGATATATATCGATTGTGTGATTGAGCAGATGCAGTACGTACAGCTTTGATCGTTTTATTTGCCAGCGTTTGACGCGTCTCATCGTATACAGTGTATCTTTTTTGTCACACGGTTACTTCCGTCGTGCCATTAAAAATATCATTTTTGACTTTTAAACTTCGTATTTAACAGTTCGTTTTATTCAAATTTTTTATATAAATAATAAAATAAATAAATTATTATTAAAATATCTTTAATAATAAAATAAATCATAACAAAATAAATAATATTTATATAAATTTTTTGAATAATACCAATAGTTAAACAAGAAGTCTAAGAGTCAATGGATGGGACGGAGGAAGTACACGCGAACACGAGTTAACGTGCACATCCAGTCGGCCATCCATCAACACCGGCAGACCCATCGATCGCCATCCGCCTTTAACTGAGTCTAGCTACGCCTACAGGTGCTGCTGTTCGCGGTGTAGCCGCTCATCCCAAGGTCAAAAGGAGAAAGGAGGGGCCGGCAGCTCGATCGGGCCGACTTGCCGAGACAGCAGCGGCAGCGCCACGGCGGCAGGGCAGCCGGATCCGGCAACCAGATCCGCTGGATCTGCGTCCGAGTAGCCACGGCCCACGGGTCA